GCCCCAAGTCTTCTCCAGGTCCTTCAGGTTCCACCTTGGTGCCCCCAAATCTCCACCAGGACCCACCCTGGTGACCCCAAATCTCCTCCAGGTCCCTCAAAATGGAAGGGTCCCCAAGGCCAGGAGGGTCTTATGGGTCAGGGGGGTCCCCAAGATCCTGGGATGGTCTCCAAAATGATGAATGGGGTCCCAGGGGTGAGGGGTCCCCAAAATTGAGAGATCCCCATAGTAGGGGGGTCCCCAAAATGGAGGGGTCCCCAAAGTAGGAACAGTCCCCAAAATGGAGGAGTCACCAAGGCCAGTGGGTCCTCAAAGTGAGGGGTCCCATGGAGGAGGTCCCCAAAATGGGGGAATCTCCAAAGTGGGGACAATCCCCAAAATGCGGGGGTCCCCAAGACCTGGGGGGGTCCCCAAAGTGGGGACAATCCCTAAATTATGGTGTCCCATGGGCGGGGGGGGGGTCCCCCAAAATGGGGTGAGGCTCCTCAAATAGGGGTGGGGGGGGGTTCCCAAACTGGAGGTGGTGGGGACAACCCAGCACTACCTCCCAGCTCTACTCACTGCCAGGGGACCCCCACTTTTCCTCCACATCCGCTTAATTAAGTTTTAATTAATTAATCATTAATTTCTGGCACCCATTCATTAATTTTTAAGTCATTTCCCCTCCTTTTTTTCCGGCGGTTTTTTTTTTTGTGTGTTTTTTTTAAAGCCTCGAGGTTTTTATTTATTATTATTAAAAAAAAAAAAAAAAAAGAACGACTGGAAAAAAAAATCCGAATTAAAGGGATGGACCCACCCCTCTCTCCCCGGGATTTTCCCAGGATTTCCCCCAGTCCCGGGAATTCCCTCGGGAATTCCTTCGGGAATTTTCCTCCTCCCCAGAGGGGGGGGTTGGATTTTGGGGTCCCCCCAGGGGCCGCCGAATTCTGTATTTGGGGGGGCTCCGGCCCCCCCCCGCGTGTGAATAAAGCTCCGTATGGAAAGCGTTGCTCGTTCCTGGTGCCTTTGGAGCGGGAAAAGCCGGGAATTTGGGATGGGAGGCGGGAATTTGGGATTCTGTGTGTCCCTAAATGTCCCCAAGATGTCGCTGGGGCCGCGCTCCTCCGCTCCCCCCCGCTGCCGGTTCCGGTTCCGCCCGGATCCTTTTTACCGCCGCACCCTACCGAGGAGGTGCCCCCGCATTCCAGTCCCCCAGCTCGCTACTTCCGGTCACCGCTGCCACCTGTCGCGGTCGCCAATCCCTGTCGCGACAAAGAAGTTGCCAATGTTTTTCTTACCTGGATCAGCAGGGATAGTGAGAGTTTTTAATAGGGGAATCTATAGGGGAAACCCCCAAAACAGCCCCTCCCATCCCAGGGACCCTCCCCGAGCCTCCCCTAAGCCCCTTCCAGCCCCCCTAAAACCCCAGAGGAACCCCTAAACCAGCCCAAGGAGTCTCCCCCTCTCCAGCGCCCCAAAAGCATCCCAGATAATTCCCCGAGATCTCCAAAACCATCCCAGAGCCCCTCAAAACTACCCCATGGACCGTCCCAACACAGGGACCTCCAGAAATGCTCCCCCATTCCATGGACACCCCAAAAACTCCCAGGAACCCCCTAAAACAATGCCCACATTCCAGAGATACCCTAAGCCACACCCAAACCCCCCCCCCAGTAACCCAAAACCACCCCAAGGACACTCCAAAAATCTCCAGGACCCCCCATAACCGATCCCCACCATCCCCCGGACTCCCTAAATCACGTCAAGGAAACCTAAAAAAAAAAACAAACCTCCAGGACCCCCCTAAACCACCCTAAAGACCCCTTAAACCACCCCAAAGACACCCTCAAAACTCCCAAAACCACACTCAATGACACCCCAAAAGCCTCAGGACCCCCCTAAACAAATCCCCCGCATTCCAGCGATCCCCTAACAACCCCAAAGACTCTCTCAGAACCTCTAAAACGCGCCAGGAACCCCAAACATGCTCCCCTCCCATTCCAGGAACATCCCAACAACGCCCAGGACCCCCCTAAAACAAGTCTGTCCAAATCCAGGGACTCCCGAAACCAACCTAAACACCTCAAAACCAACCCAAGGACTCCCCAAAAACCCCCAAGATCTCCCTAAACCAAACTCTCAAAACCAACCCAAGGACTCCCTCAGACCGCAAAGCCAGCCCAAGGACACCCCAAAAAACCGCAGACCCCCCCTAAACCAAATCCTCCCATTCCAGGATCCCCCTTAAACCACCCTAAAGACCTCCCCAGCACTCCAAAACCACCCCTAAGACACCCCCAGGACCCTAAAAACCACTCTCAAGGACACCCCAAAAGTTTAGGATGCGCCTAAACCAATCTCTCCCTTTCCAGAGATCCCCTAAATCACCCCCAAAACCTCCTCAGCACTCCAAAACAACCTCAAGGACTCCCTCAACCACCACAAGGACACCCCAAAAACCCCCAGAACCCCCTAATTCCAGGGACACTCTAAACCACCCAAAGACCCCCAAAACAGCCCAAGGACGCCCCAAAAATATCCAAGACCCTCCTAAACGTAATCCCCCCAAAACCACCTCGGGAACCCCCAGACCAGCCCCCCCCCCGCAATTCCAGGGATTCCCCTCAGCGATTTCCCCCCTCACAAATTCCCGCCGCGGCTCCTCGGGAGCACCTGGCTGGGTTTCCGCCGCCGTTCCCGCAGGAATTCCGCTTCCCAGAGCTTCCGCAGCACCTTCAGCTCCTGCTGCCGCTCCATGGCCGCCGGAACCGGGATACGGGATCTGGGATCGGGATCTGGGATCGAGGATTGGAAATCGAGGGAAGCTCTGGGGGGAGACCCCAGAGTCGCCTCAGAACGAACCTCCCGCTCCTGCTGCGCTCTAGCCAATAGAAAGGCAGAGCTCAGTGATTGACAGCAGCTGGAGCCAATAAACACCAAACTACCGCGAAGCGTCCGCCCACACCCCAAAACCAATGAGAAGTGAGAATGAACTTTGACAGACAGCTGTGGTAGCCAATAAGCAAGCGGAAACACGCCCCTAGGGTGGATCCCGCTCGCTGATTGGTGGACGCAGCGCGCTGACACGGAGGTGGAGCTTCCGTACGGGCAGGGGCGGGTGGGGGCTGCGGGCAGGCGGTGAGTGGGGGGCGCCATGATGGGGGGGGCGCCGGGGCTGGTTTCGGGGTTCGGGGTGTCTCTGGCGGGGTTCCGGGGATTGAGGGGACCATGTGGGAGCTTAGGGGTACATGGGGCGCTCCTTGGATGGGTTTAGGGGGGTTGGATGGGTTTAGGGATGGATTGGGAAGGCTGAGAAGGACCCCGTGGGTGGGACGGGCTGGGTTGGGGGTCCAGGGGGTCCTTGAGGTGCTTTCGGGGGACTGGGGAGGAGGAAGCTGATTTGGGGGGGTCCTGAGGAAGGAGGGTTGGGTTTTGGGGGTTCTTGCTCTGGTTTAGGGGGATTCCTGGGATGGGTATTGGGGGGTTCGGGAGGGGTCCCTGAGCTGGTGTAGGGAAATTTGTGGAGTCCCGAGACTGGTTTGGAGGTCCCAGGGCTCATTTGGGGGATCCCTGAACTGGTTTTGGCGTCCCTGGTGTGGTTTAGGGAATCCCTGAATTGTTTTGGAATCATGGACTGGTTTGCGGGGGTCTGGGGGATCCCTGGGCTGGTTTAGGCGATCTCTGAACTGGCTTTGGGTGGTCCCTTAACTGGTTTGGGCGGGGGAGGGGGGAGTCCTGAACTGGTTTTGGGGTCCCTGGGCTGGTTTAGAGGGAGCTTGGACTGGTTTGGGGGGGGTCGGGGGGATCCCCGGACTGGTTTGGGGGTCCCTGGACTGGTTTGGGATCCCCGCACTGGTTTGGGGAGGTCTGGGGGACTTCTGGGCTGGTTTGGGGTGTCCCTGGAGTGATTTAGGACAGTCCGTGATTGGTCTGGGGAGGTCTGGGGGGCATCCCATGACTGGGTTAGGGGTCTCTGAGCGGGTTTTGGGGATCCCTGGATGGGTTTGAGGAATGCCCAGACTGATTTAGGGGTCCTTAACTGTTTTGGGATCCCTGGACTGGTTTGGGATCCTTGGACTGGTTTGGGGAGGTCTGGGGGATCTCTGCACTGGTTTGGGGTGTCCCTGAAGTGATTCAGGGGAGTCCCTGGATTGGTTTGGGGACGTTTGTGTGAGGAGGTCCCTGGACTGGTTTAGGGGTCTCTGGGCTGGTTTAGGGGTCCCTCAACTGGTTTTGGGAATCCCTGGATGGTTTTGGGGGATGCCCGGACTGGTTTAGGGGTCCTTGAACTGATTTGGGACTGGTTTATGGAGGGGTTCCTGGACTGGTTTTGGGGTCCCTGGAGTGATCTGGGGGATCTCTGGACTGATTTAGGGGACCCTGGGCTGGTGTATCAATCCCTGAGCTGTTTTGGAATCCCTGGACTGGTTTCGGGAGGTCTTGGGGGTCTCTGGACTGGTTTTGGCATCTCTGGATGGGTTTGGGGAATGCCCAGGCTGGTTTAGGGGTCTCTGGACTGTTTTGGGATCCCTGGGCTGGTTTTGGGGGGTCCCTGAACTGCTTTGGGGGGGGAGAGGGTGTCCCTGGACTGGTTTAGGCGTCCCTGGACTGGTTTAGGCATCCCTGAACTGGTATGGGGGATCCATGGACTGGACTGGGGATCCCCAGGCTGATTTGGAGGTCCCTGAACTATTTTGGGATCCCTGGAATGGTTCTGGGGGATGGGCCTGGGGCTGCTTTGGGGGGTTTAGGGGGTCCTTGGGCTGGTTTAGAGGGAGCTTGGACTGGTTTGGGGATCCCTGGACTGGTTTGGAGGTCTCTGGAGTGGTTCGGGGGATCCCTGAACTGGTTTGGGGATTCTCTGGGTGAGGCTCTTTTGTGGGGTCTCCAGGAACCCCAGTATTACAGAATCTCCACTCAAGCTTCTACCCCAAAATCCCTCTTTCGCTTCCCTTCCCCCACCCCATTTCTCCCACAGGTTCCCTTTGCGGCCAAGAGGGAAATCGCTGGATTTTGGGAACATTCCCAGAATTCCGCCATGGCTCCCTCGCGCAGCCGCTCCTCCACCCGAATCCCGCCGTGCATTCCCAAGCGCCAACTCCCGCCAGGATATTCGGATTCTCTCCTTTTCCTCTGCGCCCGCCGCATTGTCGCCCACCACCCCCTTCCCATCCTTCCAGCCCTTCCCGCCCACCTCTATCCCATCCTTTTCCAAGCGGCATTCCTGGATGGAAGACCCCTGGTCCTGCGGGATTTGGTGGCCGCTTGGCCTTTCCCGGTGCTCAACTTCCAGCGGCTCGTGGGGCGCCGGGAGCTGCTCCGGGATCATCCCTGCAAGCTCTGTGTCCAGGCCGTCATCCTGGCTGTGGTGGCGCAGCTCCGGCGGGAGCTGGAAGAGCCCGGCCGTGATTCCAGGTGGGTTTTGGGAATTTCGGGATGATCACAACCTCCATTCCTCCAATTCCTCCAGGCGTTTTCATGGTTTCTTCCTATTTTTTCCAGCGGCTGCCGCCTGCGCGTGCTGGATGTGACGGGAGTTCCGGATGATCCAGCCGGCCGCGCTCCTGACGGGATGAGCGTCTGGTCCGGCACCGTGGCTTTGGCCAAGGCTTGCGTGGAGGTGTCCAAGCACCAGCGGGAATTCCAGAGACGCGGATCCAAGCGGCACAAAGGTCGCTCTGGAGCTGCCACGGCCGCAGCCGCTCCGCAGCCCCCGGGCGTGGACGTCCACGCCGACCTGTTCGTCAACGGAACATCCTATGGGATCCTGCGGGACGCGCTCCAAACCGGAGCCACCGGCCCGCTGCGCCTCAAGTGCCGCGAATTCCAAGCGGAAAAGCTCTCCCTGGCCGGCATCGTGAGCCTGCTGGAATCTCTGGATCCTTCCTGCGTGCGGAGGGTGGATCTGCGCTTCCGGAATTTGGGATTGACCGGGCTCTCGGTGATCCTGCCGCACCTCTCGCGCTTCCCGGAGCTGCGCAGCCTCAAGCTCCAGTACAGCAACGTGGACGTGCGGCGGCCGACGCCGGAATCGGCCATCGGAATCCGTTGCCTGGCCGGGCAGCTGGGAATGCTGCCCAGCCTCCGGGAGCTCAACCTGGGATCGTCCCGGCTCTCTGGGAATCTGCGCCAGATCCTCTGGTGAGTTCCCCACAGAGAGGGTCCTTCCTGGGCTCTGGGGGGATTCCCAAGGGTTGGGCTTGATGATCTTGGGGTGATCCCATGGTTCCAGGATTTTATTATCCCAATGTTCCCATGATTCCGTTATCCCAAAAGTTCATGACTCCATAATCCCTGATTTCCAAGATTCCAGGATTCCTAAAGGCTAAAGTACACGACCTTGGAGATTCTCCCCAATCTTAGTGATGCCATGATTCCAGAATTTAATTATCCCAATATTCCCATGATCCTGTGATTCCGTTATCCCAATAGTTTATGGCTCAGTGATTTCATTATCCCATAAATTCATGATCCCATCATTCCTTAATTACAAGATTCTCAAAGGTGGGGTCCTCAGGGTCTTTTCCAGTCTGAAGGATCCATTGATTCCAGGAATTCATTATCCCAGTGTTCCCATGATCCTGTGATTCTGTTATCCCAATGGTTCATGGCTCAATGATTCTGTCATCCCATAATGCCATGATCCCAAAATTCTGGGATTCCAGGATTCCCAAAGGCTGAACTTCAGGATCTTGAAGATCTTCACCAGTCTAGTGACCCCATGATTCCAGGATTTTATTATCCCAATATTACCATGATTCCATTATCCCAGTCCTTGATTCCAGATTTCCCAAAGTTTGGGCTTAATGGTCCCTGAGATCTTTTCCAACCTTAGTGATCCCTGGTTCCCATTATCCCAATAGTCTAGGACTACATTATTCCATGATCCCATAATTCCTTGATTCCAGGATTCCCAAAGGTTGGACTTGATGACGTTGAGGCCTTTTCCAACTTTAATGGGTCCATTATGATCCCATAATTCTATAAATCTGTGCTCCCAAGACCTCATAACTCCACCATTCCTGAGCTCCGTGATCCCATAATTCCCTGATTCTCAAAGCTTAAACTTAATGGTCGGAAGAGATTTTGCCCAACCTCAGTTATTCCATTAGTCCATGATTTCATGACCCCATAATTCCAAAACCTCAGGGTTTTCAGGGGTCGAAGTCGGTGAGTCTTGGAGCTCTTTCCCAACTTTAGTCATTCCATCGTTCCATTATTTGATTCCACAATTCCATGACCACTTCATCCCATAATTCCATGATTCTCAAACCTCCAACTTCATGTTCTAGGCGCTCTTTCCCAACCTCACCCATCCCACAATCCTACAATTCCAGGGATGCAATCCCAGTTCTCATTCCCTACATTTCCCCCAGGAATCCCAACATTCCCAGCTCCCACCAATCCTCCCTTGGGCCTCACCTCTCCCTTTTCCCTCCCACCAGTGACCTCCAGGCTCCGTTGGAAAGCTTGGAATTGGCCTTCTGCTCCCTCGTTCCCGCCGACCTCGCCTTCCTCTCCCAAAGCTTCCACGCTCCAGCCCTCAAAAGGTTGGATCTGAGCGGCCATGACTTCTCCCAAGGCCTCCTGGAGCCTCTCCGGCTGCTCCTGGAGGAAACCTCGGCCTCGCTGCTGCACCTGGATCTCATGGAATGCCGCATGGCCGATTCCCACTTGGACGCGCTCCTCCCGACGCTCCGGCGCTGCTCCCGCCTGCGCTTCCTGGGACTCTACGGCAATTCCCTGTCCACGGCCGCGCTCAAGGATCTGCTCCAGAAAACCTTGGAGCTGCCGGATCTCCACCTGGTTGTGTATCCTTTCCCCGTGGATTGCTACAAACCGGAGCCTCCGCGTCGAGTCCCGGGATCCCGACGGATTTACGAGGAGCCCATGGATGGGGAACGTTTGGCAGCGGCCACCGCGGAGATTTCCCAGCTGCTGGCAAATTCTGGGAGAACCGACCTCGTCTGGACTTACAATCCCTACGGCCATGGAGCCCTGGACTACTTCTCCTTGTGATTTGGGAAAAGTTCGGAGGCGGGAAAATCTCGGAGCCTCCATTGTAGAAAAGCGCTGCTGCCTCCTTCCCAAAATCCGGGCGTTTTCCGCCTCATCCCGGTGCTTTTCTGCCTCATTCCAGTGGTTTTTTTCCTTTCATTTTGGTGCTTTTCTGCCTGGTTTTGTTAGTTTTCTGTCTCATCCCGATGTTTTTCAGCCCCATTCTTAAATTTTTCCCTGGTTTTGTAGCTTTTCTGTCACGTTTTGAGGATTTTCCTCCCCATCCCCATAGTTTTCCCTCATCCCAGTATTTTTCCCCCATTTGGTTATCTTTCCAGCCTGTCCCAGTGTTTTTTCAGCCCATCCTGGTATTTTTCTGCCTCATCCCGGTATTTTTCCATCCCATTTCATGATTTTTTCCAGCCCATCCCAGTGTTTTTTCCATCAGGATTGGCTTTGCACAGCCAAATTCCAGGAGGCTCCGGGGCTTGATTCCACTGGAAGCTGCCGGAAGCTTCTCCCGTGTCCAGCCAATCCTGTCGGGAACAGCAGCGACACCTTTGGAATAAGAATGAAGTTGGAAGAAACCAATCATAGCCCAGCTGGAATTCTGCATCAGGAATTTGGGAAAGGAACAACTCCAGAGATGATTCTAAAGTGCTGGAGTGGAAATTCCCAAAATTCTGCGGTGCATCCAAAGGGAAACTCATCCTGGAGCTGGATCTTGGGAGGGACCTGCAGATCCACGGAAAAAGGAGCAGATTCCTGGCAGGAATCTCACGAAGGTAAAATCCTTGGGAGCAGGATATTCCTGATGTATTGATCCCTTGGAAAAGTCCATGAGGAATTGTCTTCCATGGGAATGACACATTGGAGAAATCCATGGAAAACTCTTGCCATGGGATGGATTTGCATTAGAAAATGCATTGAAAACTGACTTTGGGATGGATTCACAGAGAAATCCTTGGAAAGTTTGCTGTGGGACGGATTTACATGGGAGAAATCCATGGAAAACTCCCCTGGGATGGCCCTGGCTCCCAGCACTGCTGGAGGGATTGAGGGAAAACTGGGAAAGAGAGAACTGGGGGAGGGAAAAGTTGGATTTGGGGTCTTGTTATCCTGTTCTGATTCCATTGGAAATAAACGCATCCTGTCCCAGATTCTGAGTCTGTTGTACCCGGACAGGATTTCCTGAGGGATCTTTCCCAATCCTTATCCCAATCCTTGAATTCTCCATCATTTCCTTCATTTCCATGTCATTTTGGTGTTTTCCCACCTAATGCTGGTGGTTTTCCACCTCATTCTGGGTTTTTTATTACTTTTTACCACTGTTTTTCCACCTCATTTGGGCAGAGTTTGCCTCATCCCGGTGTTTTTCCACCTTTTCCCACTGATTTTCCACCTTTTCCCACTGATTTTCCACCTTTTCCCAGAGCTTTCCCCCCCAGCCTGGTGCTTTTCAGACTCATTTGCTATTTTCCCTCCATCCCGTTATTTTTCATGCCATTCCGGTTATTTTCTAACCCATTTTGGGATTTTTTTTTTGCATTATCCCAGTATTTTTCCTCTTGTCCTGGTGTTTTTCTTCCTCATTTTGGTTGTTTTCCACCTCTTTTTGTTTTTTATCTTCCTTATCCCAATATTTTTCCCCTTATCCTGGTGTTTTTCCAAATAATTTTCGTATTTTGAGCCTTTTTCCATTGTTTTCCCACCTAATCTTGGTGGTTTTGTCCTCATCCCTTTCTTTTTCCCTTATTTTGGTGTTTTCCCTCCTTATTTTAGTTGTTTTCCACTTAATATTGGAGGATTTTGCCGTATCTCAGTATTTTCCCTCTCATCCTGGTATTTCCACCTCATCTTGGTATTTTGGACCTTATTCCGTTGTTTTCCCACCTCATTTTGGTATTTTTTCCCTCATCTCAGTGTTTTTCCACTTTATTTTGGTATTTTGGGCCTCATTGTGTCACATTTCTACATAATTTTGGTATTCTTCCCCTTATCCCGGTGGCTTTCCCCTCATCCCGGAGTTTTCACACATCATTTTCTTATTTCTTGCCTCATCCAAGTGTTTTTCTGCCTCATTTTGGTATTTTTTCCCTCATCTCAGTGTTTTTCCACTTTATTTTGGTATTTTGGGCCTCATTGTGTCACATTTCTACATAATTTTGGTATTTTTCTTCTTGTCCCTATGGTTTTCCCCTCATTCTGGTGTTTTCCCACTTCATTTTTCACCTCATTCTAGCGTTTTTCCGCCAAGTCTTGGTGCTTTTCTGCCTCATTTTGGCGATTTTCCACCTCATTTCTATGGTTTTCCACCTAGTTTTGGTATTTTGAGCCTTATTCTGTTGGGGTTTTGACTCATTTTTGGTGTTTGTTCACCTAATTTCTCTCTTTTCCTTCTCAGCCTGGTGTTTTCCAGCTCACTTTGGTGTTTTTCCCCTCATTTTGGTGTTTTCTCCTTTATCCCGATAGTTTCCCGCCTCATTTTGGTTTTTTCCCTCCCTCATTTAACATTTTTCCCCTCATCCTGGTACTTTTTCCCTCATCCCACTGTTTTTCCAACCCATCCCAGTTGTTTTTCTACCTCATCCCGGTGCTTTTCCCCTCATCCCGATATTTTCTCACCTCATTTTCCATCTTTTTCCCTCATCCCGCTGCTTCTCCCGGTGCCTGTGGGGCCCTGAGGGCCTAGAGGGGAAAATGGCGGCAAGCTGAGGGTGGGGGGGGATCTATAGGGGATCTATGAGGGCACGCAGCGCCAGGAGCCGCTTATACGGAATTTTAATGGGGTCGCTGAGGCTTTTTAGAGGTTCGAGACCCTATAGGGAAGCTCTGGGAGGTCTATAGGGCGGTCTGGGGGGTTCTATAGTGTCTGGAGATCTATAGGTGCCCCTACAGCGGCGGGACCCCTGCCCTCGGCCTCTCTCCTTCCACTTTCGCTTTCCCCCCGGAACCTTTTCACGGCCGCACCACCCGAGGTGCGCACACATTCCGGTCCCCCGGGTGGCCACTTCCGGGTGGCGCCGGTGGCNCCGGGGCCCCGGTACCTGCAGGGGCAGCGGCCGGGGCCTGGAACCCGAGAGTATTTTTATTACGTAGATCACCATGGACAGGTGCGGGGGAATTTGTAGGGGATCTGTAGCAGATTTATAGGCGATTTACTGGGGATCTATAGGGGATCGACTGGTGATCTATAGGCAATTTATAGGGGATATATAGGGGATTTCTGGGGGGATCTATAGGGAATCTACAGGGGATTTATATAGTATCTCCAGTGGATTTATTTGGGATCTTCAGGGGGATTTGTAAAGGATCTAAGGGGATTTATAAGAGATCTATAGAGGATTTATAGGAGAGTTATGAGGAATCTCCAGGGGATCTATAGGGCATTTATAGGGGATCTATAGCGGGTTTATAGGCAATTTATTTGGGATCTATAGGAGATTTACAGGAGATTTATTTGGGATCTATAGGGGATTTATGGGGGATCTATAAGGGATCTCCAGGGGATCGTTAGGGAATCAACAGGGGATTTATTTAGGATCGGCAGGGGATTTATAGGGTATCTATAGGGGATTTATAGGGGATCTGTAGGAGACCTCCAGGGCATCAATAGGAGATTTATTGGGGATTGATAGGGGAACTACAGGTGGTGAGTAGGGGATTTATGGGAGATTTACAGGGGATCTATAGGGCATCTCCAGGGGATTTATTTGGGATCTATGGAGGATCTCCAGGGCATCATTAGGGGATTTATTTGGAATAGATAAAGGATATATAGGGGATCAATAGGAGATCAATTGGGGGTTCTGGAGGGTCCTGGGAATGGATTCTGGGAAGATCCCAGCTTAATCCCAGTTTAAAACCAGATTAAATCCAGACAGATCCCAAATATATCCCAGATGGATCCTGCACGGATCCCAGTACAATACCAGACAAATCCCAGGAAAATCCCAAAAAGCAAATCCCGGCTGGATCCCCACTGAGAAGATCCCAAAGGGATTCAGGACAGATCCCAAAACCATCCCAGAGAAAAATCTGGGGATTTGTTTGGAAAAACTCGAGCATTTTGAGGCTTTTTCCTGCTTTTTTTCCTGCAGCTTTTTCTGGACGACACCAAAGTCAAGAACTTCATCACCTGCTTCAAAGGTACCTCCATAATTAGGGTCCCGTTGTTAATTGGCACCTGGTTATTAATTAGGATTCGATTATTTATTGGGATTTGAGCCTTAATTACGATTTAATCCTTAATTAGGGCGGGGGTTGAAGCTTGGGAAGGTGAGACCACCTAATTTGCATATTAATCCCTCATTAACTAATTGTTCCCTGATTAATACTCATTCCCTCATTATTTAAATTCTCTAATGATTAAATTCCTTAGTTAATTAAGAAATTCCTTAAATAAGTAAGAAATTCTCCCATTAATTGAGAAATATATTTTTAACGAAAATTAATTTTAGGAAGTATTTCCTCTTCCCAATTCCTCTTTTCCCTCATCCCTTTCCCAAATCCCTAAAATTCCTGGAAAATCCCTAATTTGCATATTAATCTCTCATTAATGAATCATTCCCTCATTCATTAAATTCATTAATTATTAAATTCTTTAATTATTAAATAATGAAAAAATCCTTAATTAATTAAGAATTCCCTTAATTAATTAAGAAATCCACTTTTAATAACAAAAATAAATTTTAGGAAGCATTTCTTCTTCCCAATTCCTCTTTTCCCTCATCCCATTTCCAAATCCATAAAATTCTCTGAAAATGAAAAAAAAAATTCGCCCTAATTTGCATCTTAGTCCCTCATTAATGAATAATTAATCATAATTAATAAACATAATAATTAATAAATCACTATATTTTAAAGAATTAAATAATCATTCTCTCACTCATTAAGTTCCTTCATTATTAAATTCCTTAATTAATGAAGAAATCCCTTAATTAAATAAGAAATGCCCTAATTTAGAAATCTCTTTTTAATTTTAAAAATTCATTCAAGGAAGCATTTCCTCTTCCCAGTTCCTCTTTTCCCTCATCCCTTTCCCAAACCCCTAAAATTCCTGGAAAATCCATAATTTGCATATTAATACCTCATTCGTGAATCATTCTCTAATTAATCATTTGCTCATCCAATAAATTCCTGAATTATTAAATTCCCTAATAAGTTAACTCCTTAAATAATGGAAAAATTCCTTAATTAAGAAATTCCTTAATTAATAAAGAAACCCTTTAATTAAGAAATTCCCAAATTAATTAATTAAGAAACCCATTTTTAATAATAAAAATTAATTTTACGAAGCATTTCCTCTTCCCAATTCCTTTTTTCCCCCTCATCCCTTTCCCAAATCCTTAAAATTCCTGGAAAATCCTAAAAAAACCCTCCACAAGAACCCCCAAAAAAACGCTGGAAAAACACTAGGAAAAATCTGGAAAAAAAAATTAAAAAATTTTAAAAAGGGAAAAACCCCTTTAATCAACCACCCCGAAATTCCTGGAATTCCAGGAGCGTTGATCCATGAATTTCTCCATCCCAACAGATGTTGGATTCCTCTCCTTCTTCTTCAAGCACCTGGAGCGGAACCGGAGCGGGCGCTACCAGGCGGAATTCCCGTTCCTTTCCCGCTGCGGCCGCGAACGGAATTTCCTGCGCTGCGCTGACGTCCCTGTGGTTTTCACCCAAATCCTGCCCGGATCCGATGGGAATTCCCTCCTTTCCTACTGTGGAGGCGGCTCCAAGCTGACGGTGCCGTTCCAGCCAGGAATGCTGGCGGTATTCCCGGAAAACGGGCGGCTTTATCACCCGGCTCCGGAAAAAACCGGCGGAGTTGGGTTGGTTCGTTCGGCGCTGGCGTCCGAGTGGAGCTCGGAATTCCAGTTTGAGGAAGGGCCGGAAAATCCCCCGACGCATTTTTTGTGGGAAGGGAGGAGGTATCGGCTCTCCGGGGAATTGTTGGAAATTCTGCGGGCGGAAAAATCTGGATTGGAGGTTGAGTCTGTCAGATCCTAAAAGGGAATTCTGGCGTATTCAGAATTGGAATTCCCAGTTATTCCCCTAGGAAATGGGAGATTCCCAACGTATTCCCAAGGAATTGGACCATCCCAAAATTCCAGGCAGCCGAAACCCACGGTTTTCGGTGAAATTCCCGAAAAAAAAAAAAAGAGTAGAAGTTGCTCTGTCGATTCCTTGTTGTGGGGATTTGGGATGAAGGATTTGGGATGGGCATTCAGGGTAAAGGATCTGGGATGACAGATTTGGGAATTTGGGATCAAGGATTTGGGGATTTGGGGTGAAGGATCTGGGATGACAGATTTGGGAATTTGGGATGAAGGATTTGGGGATTTGGGGTGAAGGATCTGGGATGACAGATTTGGGATCAAGGATTTGGGGTGAAGGATCTGGGATGACAGATTTGGGAATTTGGGATCAAGGATTTGGGGATTTGGGGTGAAGGATTTGGGAATTTGGGATCAAGGATTTGGGGATTTGGGGTGAAGGATCTGGGATGACAGATTTGGGAATTTGGGATGAAGGATTTGGAGATTTGGGATGAAGGATCTGGGATGACAGATTTGGGAATTTGGGATCAAGGATTTGGGATGAAGAATTTGGGAGCAATTTGGAAGGATTTTGGGCAGTGGCCGATTATTAATAATAATTAATTATAATTATTAATTTATTAATATCCCATGGGAAATAAGGGAATTTGAGAAATTTTCCCTCTGGATGTGGCAATATAAGTGCTGGGAGAAAAGTCGGATGAGGGGGAAAAATGTTGGGATTGGAGTGGGAAAACACCAAAATGGGGTGGGAAAACACCAAAATGGGGCGTGAAAATTACGGGATGAGGGAAAAAATAACAAAATGAGGTGGAAAAACAACAGGATGATACAGGAAAACACCAAAATGAGGCAGAAAAATACTGGGATCAGGGGGAAAATATCGGGATGGGGTAGAAAAATCCTGAAATAAGACAGAAAACATCTGGATGAGGCAGGAAACTAACAAAACCAGGCAGAAAAGCACCAGAAATTAAAAGAAAAATCCAATAGGATGAGTAAGAGAAGCACCAGGATGAGGCGGAAAACACCGGGATTTCCGGAAGGAGGCAGCGGCGCTATTCCACGATGGAGGCTCCGAGCTTTTCCAAAATCACAAGGAGAAATAATCCAGGGCTCCGTGGCCGTAGGGATTGTGAGTCCAGACGAGGTCGGTTCTCCCGGAATTCTCCAGCAGCTGGGAAAATTCCACCTTGACCGCTG